ATAATTAATTAGTTTAGTAAATATATAATTATTAACTTTGAAATAGAATATAAAATATTAATTGAATTTAAGAATCTAGTTTGACTATTTTTTAATGTTTTAAGAAGTCAAATTTACATGATTTAATAAATTCTATTATGATTTATTGTTAAAGTCTAATAATCATAATATATTCTTAAATTCTAATAGAAATTGTCAAACAATTTCATAGAACTTAACATGATTTATTAAATCCATTACAAATCAATTTTTAAGAGGACTAAAATCCATTAGAAATTTGCCCTTTCAGGATTTACTAATAACTATATTTTTCAGATTACAACGTTGACTGACAGTGTCTGGTTGGTGGTGATCGATGAAGGTTGGCGGAGGTCGACGATATTGATGATGGACTTCGGCGGTCGGCGAGGGTCGACTGCAATCGGCGGTGGTCGACCACGGAGGTCGGCGGTGTTAAATTTATGCCAAACAATTTAACAAAATTTAAGAGAATTTATTAAATTTATTACTAAATAAATTTTAAGATTTATTTTTTTTCGAATTTACTAAATTTAGATTTACAGTAAATTCTAAATCCTAATAACTTAAATCTCATCCATTGCATCCAGTCCCTTGGTCTCCTTATCCGCCCACCGCCAAACTTACAGTAAATTCTAAATCCTAATAACTTAAATCTCGTCCATTGCATCCATCTCTTGGTCTCCTTATCCACCTCTGTCATTCAGCCCATTGAAGGCAACCTTCGCCGGATTCCTCCTAAGGCAATCCATCTTCCTCCCCATGACTCTTGATTTCTTCTTGTCTTTCTCTGGTTTTCAATTAGTTCAAAATTTTCTTTTAATTGGGTGACAAATGAAGAGTCATCTTCGATTCAGGCCGTGTTTTTATCCAAATAAGTTCTGCATTGGTTTCTGGAAGATTAGATGGATTTGAATCGTCAACTTCGATCCTGAGTGATTTCTTCACGGTTTCAGGCGCCTTGTGTAGTCTGTTTTTTCTTTTCTTTCATTTGATTTCATTTTTGGAGGTCTTTCGGGGATTATTTTCGTGTTTTTTTTTTTCTTGGTTGTGAAGAATAAGACCTGGACTTTATAGGTCAAGATCTTTTGCTTCTTGGCCGATCCGAGTTTGCCTGGAAACTTCCTCTTTTTTGATTGATTTGTTGTTCTGTTGCTTTTCTTAGCAGCTGAAGTTGTTGAACGAGAGGCAAAAGTGGAGGATCTTAAGATGGCTGATGCTATCGCTAGATATTGGTGTCATATGTGTTTGCAAATGGTAAACCCAGTTATGGTGCTGGAGCTCAAATGTCCCTTTTGTGACAGTGGATTTGTAGAAGAAATGGGTGGAAGGGAAGTACCTAGAACTGAAGCCATTGGATCTGAGAGAATCCTTACTCCTTGGGCTTCTATTCTGCTAGAGTTGATAGGGGATCCTTCCAATCACCCGCGTGGCCAGAGGAACTCGACAATCGATGGTGAAGATGACTCTGATCTGGAGCGGGAGCTGGAATCCATCCTTTCAAGGAGGCAGACGGAGGTGGAGGTCGATAACATGAGGATTAGGAGGGAAGAAGAGGAAGAAGAGTCGGAAACCGAACGCGAATTGCAGTCGATTCTGCGGAGGAGAAGGCGTAGCACTGCCATACGTCAACTGCTTCGGAGCCTTCGTGAAGATTTTAGGTCAGAATCTCATGAAACTGAGAGTGAGATTGACATAGAATGGGACTGGGAAAATGAGAATTTGGTTCTGATTGATTCTTCTTACCAGGAGATTATCCTTCAAGGCTCCATCGATTCAGGTCAGAACCAAAACCAGGATTCTGATAATACAGCTTTCGGTGCCTCCATTGGAGATTACTTTATCGGATCGCGAGTGGATTTGCTGTTGCAGCATTTGGCAGAGAATGATCCCAACAGATATGGCACACCACCTGCCAAGAAAGAGGCTGTGGATGGGATGCCTGTTGTGAAAATTGAGGAGAAGATGAGTTGTTCAGTCTGTTTAGAGGACTTCGAAATCGGAATGGAAGTTAGAGAAACACCTTGCAAGCACAAGTTTCATGGTGAATGCATTGTACCATGGCTTCAGCTCCATAGTTCATGCCCGTTGTGCAGATTTCAGTTGCCTGCAGATGAAACAAGGTCCTCTAATGAGGCAGCTGATGGCAATAGGATAGAGGGATTTGGCAGAGATGGCCGGGTTAGACGTAGGAGGAATAGATCCGTGACTCTTGTCCCATGGCCCGCGGAAGACGAGCTCTTTTTCTCAGGTTCTCGTACTGATCTAAATTCTTCCTCTTCCCCAACTTCATCTTCGGCATCTGATCATAATATTCCTGCAGATGAAAACTAAAGGTGCTTCCTTTATGCTCATGTCTTACCTACTTTTGTTGAAGTCCACTTAAGTATCTGGCATGATGGAGGGATTCGTTTAGGGGCCATTTGGTTGAATGAATTAATGGTGCACTGTAAATCTTTTATAGGGATTTGAGAATTTATGTTTTTGGTATGAAAATTTATATATATAATGTATAGTTTTAATGAATTTGAAGTTTACAACATAGTTTAGTTTGAATTTAGATTTTAGCTGATTATGCCGAATTTTAATTAGTTCATTTATGTAAAATCTTAAAGTTGAGATGTTTTGAGATTTATCATGCCCTCTCAGTTTCCTTGAATAATGGTTGGGAACAAAGGAGTGAAGCTTTTTGAGCTTATAATTATATGGTTTCTGAATCTAGTTTTGCTTCCATTTACATTCAACAGCCTTTGTATGTTTTATATACTGCTTTAGACAGGAATTTTTTGTCATTAAAAGTTGACTGACTGTGTTTTATGCTTACTCCAAACAAGTTTTAATTTGGGTAAATAGGCAGGTTAACCATGGATATACTAGTTATTTGCTTTGTCATTTATATGCTATTATTAATGGAAATTTACATGCATACTGCACAATTCCTTTATATATATATATATAGATATATATAGTGTCTTAAACCAATGCATGATAAGGTGTATTCAACTTTTAGAAATTGTTAATAGTGGTATTCTTGATATAATATTAAAGATTTGAGTATTATGCATATAAATATGAAAGTTATATGTAAATACATAAGGATTATGTGGCGAAAATATATAAGTTTGGCTGCTTATTTATGCCTTTTAAACTAGTCTTACTTTTTCAGTGTTGCTATGACCAATGCATATTAGTTATCTTAAGGCAATGAATCTATAAATATGATCTCATTTTATAGAAAATGTTGTTGCTAGGTATTCCTTATGAAGGTGATTTTGTTATGAATAGTGGAGTTAATTAATATCTTTTTTAAATTTAAATATATTAAGTTTATAAAAAAATATTTAAATTTAACATATAATTCATTTTAAAATTTTTATATATTAATCTTGATGTGTCATCAAGAAATTTTTGTCTAGCACTAATATTGATGCATCTTTTTTAAGCAAGAAATGCTTTAAATTCAAACTCAAGATCATCCAGTGCCCTGATGTCAATAAGTTTATAGTAAAACTGACTGTCAAGATGAGCCCAATAATACCAAATTTGGGATGATTCAGTTCTAGTCAAGCCCAAATCAAGCCACTAAAACATTTAGAAGCTTTAGATCGTTAATTTACGGCCCGTTTGGGGCAGCTTAAAAGTGCGAGCGGCGTTTTCAAAACGCCGCCGTCCCGTTTGGCTAGCGCTTATCAGCAGATTATGGAAAATAGCGTTTTGGAAAATGTGAAAGACGCGGACCGCGGGCTGACCCCCGCGGTACGCGTTTTGCGAATTATATTTTACCTATTAACCCTCAGTCGATCCCGTAGGTTCTTCGCTCCTATGAATTTTTGCTTTTGCTCCCATGAGTTCTCGCTCTCGTGACCTAGGCCCTTGGACGCCTCCAGCGGAGAATCCATCGCAAGTCTTGCCCTAATCTCTACAGATTCGGTTCTTTGTCGAATTGGTTCTTCGACATTTCACTCCTTTGCCATCTTCTTCGGTTTTTCTCGCTACAGGTACATCTTTCTCGTATTCCATGGCATTTGACTTTTACATGCATTTTGGAAGATAAGTATCTTAAGTAAGGGTTTCGTGCATCATTATTATGGCATTTGGTTAGGTTATCTTGAAGGTTTATTGCTTCGAATTTGTCAGAGAAGATGGTTTTGCTTGGGAAAAAGTTTTGTTAGAGGAATGTAAACTTATCATTTTGTTAGAGGAATGTGAACTTCATTACTGTCAGAGAAGATGTTTTTCCTTGGGGATAAAAAGTTTGTTAGAGGAATGTGAACACAATTATTCATTTTTTTTTGTCTCTGAATGTGAACACAGTTGACATCTAGAAATGGAAGACTCCATTCCTGCATTGTACTCATATAATTACATGCACAACACTCAAGACTTTGCGTTTTGCAGGGGGCTTGGATCTGTAAATAGCAAAAACTTTGACTGTTATACATTATCATTTATTGTTAAAATAAAGTGAGATGCGTGTTTTCATTCAGGAAATTTAACTTCTATATTAATTTGTATTAATTTTTGTTCGTGTAATTGGACTTGGGGATATGATTTGTAACATTCATATGCGGTGATATTTTAGGGCATTTATATACATAACACAATTCTTATGTAGTATAGGTAAGGTGACATGTATTATACAGTGAGAATTTCACTTATTAAAGGTAAATTTTTTTTGGGGCTTATGGGAATCTGCTATAAGCAAATGCATGTTTTTAATTTTGAAATTTTAGATGGTAGATATACAACCTGTTCTTTTGTTTTGTGATTTTTTTGCTATGAAAAGAAACATTTTCTGTTTATCCGTTAATCTGACAAAACTCAATGAATAAAGCTAAAGAGGCTGAAAGATCAACAATGTGGGATAGAGGGTAATTATCACATTTTGTGATTTATGTTTGAGGGAGGTTGAGGTAAAATAGACCCACTACATTTTTTAACAAAGAATGGTGACACAATATCATGGTTAAATTCAAAGAAATGACTGGAAGAGATTATGATCGCATGAAATTGATGAACAAATGAGATCAGTTAAAGAAGGATTGGAAACTATGGAAATAACTGAAAAGGAGATCAACGAGAATGGGTTGAGATCCAGTTAAGCGCGCAATAGATGTACCAGATGATTGGTGAGCTGAGAAATTACAGATACATAAATAACTAATTTTATTTTATGTTGAATCTAATTTTGCATTGAGTTGAAACTATTTTATTAATGCACATTTGTAATCTATATCAGTCAGTGCCATCAGGAAAAAAATTTAAATTCGTTGGCATTGATCCATTATTGGAGGAAAAACTGGATGGAATGTTCACTGGGGTTGTCGCTACAGGAACTCATGCGTTCACCCCAAATGATATAGGGTTTGGCAGCTCAGGCCAAGGGATGGATACCGTGCAGATAAGTGATTCAAAAGGAGGTCCTAGTCATGTTCACACAGATGTTCAATCCACTAGTGTGCCTAAGCGTCCCAGAGTAGAAAAGAAAAATAAAGGGGTCGCTTTCATTAAAGGCACTATTAATACGCTTGTTGAAACATACAAAACTAGGTCATCTTCATCACAGGACAACTCAATTGATGAGTGTCTTCAGGTCCTCAATACATATTTTAATGTTAAAGAAGACGATGATGACTAAATTCAATACGTTAAGGTGTTACGAGATCCAACCATCAGACAGTTCTTTATGAAGTTGGAATTGAAATATCGAGTGAAATACTTGCGATCTTTTATGGATGTCTAAATATTTGAGTCATTATGTAGTTTATTTTCTAATATTCTGTGTTATGTTTCTATGATAGACACTTTTCTTTTCTCCTTCGTGGATGTTTCAGTCGGTTTGAACTTTCTACCTGGTTGTTGTTTCTTTGATGGACAATTTTATTGTATACACTTGTATCTTCAATGTTTTGGCCAAAGTTCATGCGTTCTATTCATCTTTCATAACATAGTTTTTTTTTTCCTACTACTAAAGTTAATTCATTTTCCTTTGATTAATATTGTAGTATGGATGAAGAAGAAATTGACCACATATGCAGAGTCGCACTTACCATTACCTTATTGTATTATTATTATCTTAAACAAGTCGATCGAAAACCATGTACAACGTCAACTCAAATAAGAGACATATGGGTTGGTGAGTTATTACGGGGCCATCCAACACGATTCTTCAATATGTTCCGTATGATAAAAGAAATATTTCATGATCTGCCAAATGAACTCCGGGGCCATCATGGGTTACACGGCTCAACAAGAACAACCTCAAGGGAAGTGCTTGCAATAACTCGGCAATTATCCTCTACATTTTATCTCAAAATGAATCAATAAGAGGGGCTATGGAGCGATTTCAACATTCATCTGAAACCATCAGTCGGTTTGAACTCTCTGGTGAGTTTGGCATGGAAGGTAGTGAAGCCCGAGGATCCAACGTTTCATTCAATTCCTTCACAAATTGCAAATGACCCTAGGTACATGTCATTCTTTAAGGTATGCCTTTTGCCATTACATTCATACGTCTAGTTTTACTACATTACAGTTTAAATAACTTTTAGTTGTAACTCCAGGATTGTATTGGAACTATTAACGGGACACACGTCGATGCACGACTATCTAGTGAAGATAAATTTGCTTATATCTGTCGGTGCGGCGCCCCAACACAAAATGTTATGGCCGTATGTGATTTTAATGCGTGCTTTACTTTTGTAATGGCTGGATGGGAAGGAAGCGCCCACGATAGTCGTGTTTTGAAGTTCGCTACTAGAAACTTGAGTCATGGATTTCCAAGCCCACCTCTGGGTAAATACTATTTGGTTGACGCTAGATATCCATTACAAATAGGATATCTAAAGCTCTATCTAGATACGAAGTACCACATTCCCGATTTTGAAAGATTTAGTGGTGTCACACGAGACAAGAAAGAGTTGTTTAACAAAAGACACTCTTCATTGCGCGGCGTAATCAAAAGAGGTTTCAGAGTGTGGAAGAAGAAGTATGTCATATTACGGGATATTTCGGCTTACCCTTTTTCAAAGCAAGTTAAAATAGTTGTTGGCATAATGACACTACACAATTTAATCCGACGCCACCATTCCAGATCGGATGCGGTGTTCGTCATTCTAGAAGATAATTCAGTGCAAATTTCACCGGAAGCATTTGAATATCATGTGGGATGTTCAATACATGAAGAATTTGATTCACAAGATGCATGCACTCGAGAGGGTGAAGGTGCATCAGAGATGTCGGCTTTACGAGAACAAATAACAGATGCTATTAGACGTTCGTGAATGAAGTTTTTTAAACTTCTCTTTCTTTGATGTTTAATTGTTAAATTGTTTAA